CCACCCCGTCCCCCCTCCCAGACTCTGCAGCATCACCCTCTCCTTCACCCTCCTCCTACTGGAGCCTGCTCCCCACCCTCTCCCAGGACCCCACACTCCCTTCCCACACCCCAGCAGCCTGCTCCCTGGCAGCTCCCTCCCACAAACTGAACCCCTCATTTTGGCCCCAGCCTGGGGGCCCCCAGAAGGGTAAGCGCTTCCCTAAGGGCTCTGCCTTCTCTCAGGCATTGGCAGGGGGGGGTTCGTCTACGACATCTACGCCATGTTCCTGTGCCACTGGCACAAGTACCGGGTGAAGGGCCACGAGGGCGTGGGGCCTCGCTCGCTGCGCACCGTCGCCCGCGCCTACCTGCGCAAGGAGTTCCTCATGGTGCTGCACCACCTCTGCATGGTGCTGGTCTGCTTCCCCATCTCCGTGGTGAGTGCCCTCCTTCCCACACGTGTCCTGCAGGCCCCCCATGTCCCTTCCCACACCTGTGGGGCCCCCCCGCCCCTTCCCACACCTCCGGGGTGGGGTCCCTGCACTCCCTCCCATGCCAACGGGGGCCTCCCTCACCTGCAGGGGCTCCATGACCCCTCCCGCACCCACAGGGGGAAAGGCAAGGGGGGGCTGTTCCCACGGGCTGCCCCTCACCCCGTCTCTCCCCAGCTATGGCGCCAGGGGAAGGGCGATTTTTTCCTGGGCTGCATGCTCATGGCCGAGCTGAGCACCCCCTTCGTCTGCCTGGGCAAGGTGCTAATCCTGGTGAGTGTGTGGGGGGCATGCCCGGACCCCGGGTTCTGTGCCCAGCCGGGGGGTGGGTGCCTGGGTTTAGTGCCCAGCCCGTGGTCTGTACCCAGCCTGGGAGGGGCACCTGGGTTCTGCACCCAGCCCCGTGGGTGCTGGGGCACCCAGTTTGTGTGCCCAGCCTGGAGGGGACAGGGGTGCCTGTGTTGTGCCTAGCTCTGGGGGTCCCAGGGGGCGCTCGTGTTCTGTGCCCAGCCCTGGGGGGGGGAGCCAGGGGGCTCTG